CCTGTCCCCTGCCCCCGGACTACAGAAACCAGTCTGAGCCCCAGCCCCCTTGCTTCAGCTATTGCTCCAAAGGTCTGGTTTCAGATGGGGTTTGTTTGGTTCTGTTTTTGTTTGGGGTGGGTGGGTCATTGTGGTCTTAGATTATGTTTCTCTTGCTACCAAACAGTCATGTATTAACTTTGGATGATGAATTTTAAAGTCAATAAATAGAAACACCAGATGACTGCTTCCCATCTGTAGTCCAAGTGACTTCCTGCCGGCAACCTAAGGGCTCCCCAGCTACGTGGGCCTCCCGACACCCACTCATTTGTGCAGAAGGGAGGCCTTGGAGACCCAGAGGAATGCTGGGATGGCAAGGCTGCCACTGACTTGCCATGTTATCCAGGGTAGGTCACCGACCACCTGTTGGGGCTGCAGTTTCCTCATCAGGGGCACAAGGGATGTGTACCTCCAATGCTTTGTAACCAGAGCTACATGTACAGATTCATGTGTAAATATAAAGCATGACACAAATGGTATATCCATGTGAATACATGTTCCCAGGCTCCCCTCAGCTCCTGAGTCAGTGGGTCTGAGATGTGGCTTGGGAATCAGAAGCTGATACATGCTACAAATGAACAAACTAGGCAACTAGTGATCCTGTCTACAGTTCCTCCGAGAAACCATTCCCGAGCAAAGCCTCTGTGAGGCTAGGGAATCTGACAGAGGCCAAGGTAGGCTTTGAAGCTGGGGTAGAATCCAAGTCTGTCTGGTTTCTGGTTCAAAGAAGTATGTCATTTTTTTAGAAAAGTGTGTCACCCAGCCAGTGTGGCTTACTGAATGAGCGTCAACCCATGCACCAAGAAGTTGCCAGTTCGATTCCCAGTCAGGGCATATGCCCAAGTTGTGGGCCAAATCCCCAGTGGGGGGCATGCAGGAGGCAGCCAATCGATGTTCTCTCTCATCGATGTCTCTATCTCTCTCTTCCTCTCCCTTCCTCTCTAAAATCAATAAAGGGGGAAAGTGTGTCATTAAGTCAGATACAAGAAAGCCAAGGCCAATAGCACAGCCAGTCCATATTGGGTCAGAGTCAATACCACCAGGGTCTACCTGCTGGACTCAAGATGATGACAACTAGAAAAGGACAGATCATGCCACTGCTCTACTAAACACATACTTGAACATTTCCAACCTAAATAAGTAAGACTTTACAAATTTCTGGTAGAGGGGGAGTGCAGGTTCATGCTTTGCAAACTGGTGTACATATTAGTCCCTCATGAGGTACCTGGCTTATGTTCCTCAAACCAGTCCTGGGCAGGGTATTCTAACCTCAGAGGACAGGAGAGAGTCAAGACAAAGCCATCTCTCCAAAGGGATTCTCCAGGTGTCCCTTGAGTTAGGGACAGAGGACACCATTTAGGATGACATCTACCTCGTGGAGAAGATAAGGCATAGAGAAGTCTAGAGATTTACCTGGGGTCACACAACAAGGCAGCATTGAGGCTGGGGGTAGGTATAGAGTCCAGACAGGAAGGTGTTCTGTGGTCAGAAAAGTCAGAGAATGACCCTTAGAACTCAGGAAGCACAGGGTTAGATTAGCTGGCCTCCGGGGGCCTGGTTGTACTCCTTGAATAGGGGTCACTAGTCTGTAGGTCCAGAGGGCTGGCAAAGGAAGCAGGAAATATGGTTAAGGCCCTAGCTTTGATCTGGGTGGAACCTGGGGAGGAGATGGGGACCAAGGGGTCTTAACTGAAGCCTCAGCTCTGGCCTCCCATCACTGTGTGGCCCTAGGCGAGTGTCTGCTCTCTCTGGACACAGGTGACCTCTGAGAGCCCTTCACATCTTTTGCATGCCTGCCAAACACCAAGTCTTTCTTTTGTCCTCATGGACCTTAAGCCACAAGCCTGGTTGCAGGAAGCACAAGGGGAAGTGCTATTTTGGGCCCATTATGGCCAATAAGGAGCCCTGCCTGGCAAAGGCAAGCTGGGTCAGAGGTAGATGGCAGGGCTGAATTGGGGAAGGAGACAGCAAGCAGCAATCAATGGGGACAGAGCCCAGATGCCAGGTTGAGGGGAGGTCACAAGGCAAACATTGAGGTTGGGGGAGGAAAGGGAACAGACCTGGTGTTGGAGCCAAGTGGCCTGGAAGAAGCAGGTGCCACCCCCATAAAGTGTCAGTAGATCCTCACAACATCCTGGGTGGGTGACTCTGCACTCAGGTGAAGCCACTTGCTTAAGGCCACAAAACCTGGCAGTGGCAGAACCGGGACTTGACCCCTCTCAGGTCATACCAAAGCCCAACCTCTGGGATTCTAGATCCAAGCCAGGATCTGGACCTAAATGTGGACTGTCCCCAACCCTCAGGCCCAGTCAGCCAAAGCTCAGCTTCAGCCCTGCTACAAGCTGAGCCCCACGCTGGCCTCCTAGGCCCAGTTCCTCCTAAAACCAAATTCACCCTCCCTCTGGAGCTAAGACACAAATACAGGAGGGCAGCCCATCCTCCAAGGGGTAGGGCTTGGCGGGCTGGGGGTTAGCCAGGCACAGAACTGAAATTTAATATGAATCGCACTTCCCGTGCCTCCTGCTTTAGACTCCTACATTGAAATTCCAGTGCAGCCAGCAGAGGGTGCCACTGTTCCTGGTCCACAACCCCAGAGGCTGACACATGCTCAGATCCCATGCAAATAACACTTCATGCTTCTGATCCTGTAGCCCAGGATCCACACCCCAAGTGGAACCTCAGTGAGACATGGAACCCATGTCCCTGCCTCTGATCACCATCCCAGCTCATCCCAGCTTACTGGGACCTTGTGCTGTGCCACCTAGGATGAAGGGAAGGTTTTCTCTGGGCTCACTGCACTGAGAGGTCTTAAGAGATGGTCTCTGAGGTCCCTGAACTCAGAGACTGTAATGCTTAAGAGTCTGTGGGTCCATCTGAGATGCCAGGAGTTTTAAAAGCCTATGATTCTGAGAGTGCTTTGTTCTCCAGCCTTTGGTTCTCCAAGCCCCATAAAAAGCCAAGCTAAATCTCTTGTGGCCCCCACAGCTCCTTCCCTATCTCCTCACTGTAGTGGGTAGATGCAGGGTCCCATCTGCAGCTTGCTGTGGTTCAGGAGTCAGAACTGGCAGGAAATAATAATTAGGCTCCCTCCTAACCTGAGTGTGTGGGGATGAGATGTATGTAGGCTGTGACTCCCGGAGACCTGACCCCGTGGAGCTGCAGCCTGAGAGCCCAAAGTTACCAACCAGAGTCCCCAGAACCACAGAGGGACTCCCCCAATCTCTTCATCCCTGATCTTTTCTCCTGACTCAAGTAACTACTGCCTACCCTTACCACTCAACCAGGTCGGTCGACCGCCTCCTCCCATGGAGAACTAGAACGAGTTTCAGGCAACAAATTTTAACCCTAATTTGTAGATTGGGAAACTGAGTAGGGGGAGGGGTTTGACCAAAGCCTCACAGAGAACTGTTAGTATATACAGGCCTAGGCCCTCTGTAGGATGTCTGATTAATAGCCAGTGCTACTTGACCAAAAAGCATATCCCCATTTGGTCCATCAAGTGGCACATGAATGCTACTATATGAACTTCAGAACTTGGAACTAGGGTATAGAAGTTCCCCTTACAAAGAAAACATTTGCAGGAATGGATGGCATCCTGGGATGCTCTGGACCCCTCACCAGGTCCCCTGCATGAATCCTTTCTGGGCTCCCTCTATGGGCTTGGTTGTGGAATATGTGCCCCTGGGATCACCCCCACCCTGGAGGTTTTCAATGACAGAAGGGGGCTGGGGCTATGACCTTATCAGTGACCTGGAGCTTTTTCTGCCCTTCTCCTACAACCTGGGCATGGTCCAAAGAAATGGAAACTCTTCTCCACTTGCCCTCCCTCTGCAAGTGTCCAGTTCTTTTCCTGGAATCTCCTGGACCCAGGGGACCTGACCTTCCCTGCCCCCTCACCTCACAGGCTGAGATTCTATGACTCTGTTTTGAATTCTTCACCTCCCCCAACAATCTATCCCCAACAGACTTATTTATGTTCTTCCATCTGTCTTGGGCTGTGATTATCCTGATTCCAGCCAGGCCTCTGCCCACAGCAGGAGGCCCTCCCTGATGTCTGCATCCCCTCCCAGCCTTGCTGTCCTGGGAGGGTCACCTGGGGTCTTCCGAATGGCACTAAGTGGGGGGAGCTCTGGATGCTGAGCTACTGCCTCTGGTCCTGACCCCCCACATCACACAACTTCAGGGGGCACGATTCACAGAGCTAGGAATACTATGTGAATAGTGCCCTGGAGTCTCTGGGCACCCTGACGGCTGGCAATGGGAATGGCAGGGTGGGACAGCTTGTTGTAAGGAAGGGAGAGCAAGTGTCACCTGTTCTGCTAGAAGGAAGGACTAACTATCCTGGCAGGGGGTTGGGGGGTAGGAAGCGGAGACAGGAAAGGTCTCCTGGAGGATAATTTGGGCTGGGCCCTGAGGAATGTGCAGGAGCCCACCAGGTGGGCCTCCATTACAGATTCACTTTTCTAGGCCTTTTTTCACCCTCTAGGTCTAGGTGGGGGTTTCTAGGGGCAGGTCTGGACCTCATCGACAAGGCAAAGCGAGGTCGTTCTTCCTAGCTGCCAATTTCCAGGAGAGAAACGAGACCCGGGAATGGAAAGAGATGACCCCGTTGGCACTGGCAATGGTGACCAAATCCGGAGTAGCATCTAAATGTCCAGTCTACCTTGCATCGAGCAACCCCTTCTTTTTCTGATTTGGCGCCCAGATGGGGCTGATCAAGGAGGTCTCTTTCCGCACAGTCCCCTGCAGTTCCAGGAGATCCGAGAGATGGCGACACAGAGCAGAGCCGGAGACAAGAGCCCCTCCGAGCCCCCAGGGGGCGGGGTATGAGAGCCGCTCTCTGACGTCGGGCGGGGCGGACAGCCGTGACGTGTGGGGGTGGGGCTGTGCCTAGTCCCAGCAGGGCAGGCGATTCATTCAAAAGGCGCGCAGCTTGCGCGGTCGCCCGTGGGCTCGCGGAGCCGGGCCCGGGCACCGCGAGGAGCTGGGCTGCTGCAGCTGCCACGAGCGGTCAGGTAAGAAGGGTGCACGGAGCCCCAGCCTGGGGTCTGCTACCTCGCGGCCGGGCCAGAGGGATGCGGTCCCGAGTGGCGCCCGCTGCCTCCCCGCGGCTCTGAGGAAGTTCGGCGGCGCGGCGGATGCCGCAGCCCCAGCCCCCCGCCCCCGCGTCCTGTTCCGGAGTCTTCCGCGCACCGACCCCCGTCGGTCCCTGAGCCCCCTGCCCTGGGACCTGCGCGTCCTGCGGCCACAACTGCAGGCGCGGCCGCGCGCGCTGTTGAAGCAGCGGCGCGACTTGCTGTTTGAGGAGCCGGCGGGCCCCGGAGACGCCCCCGGCCCGGCAAACTTGGACCGAGACCGGGACCAGGTGCGGGACAGGACGGCGGCGCCTCGGTGCGTCTGCGGCGCCGCCGAATGGGGGTCTGAACGGTGTCAGCCCGTGACTGTGGGTGACACGGCGCTTGAGGCGGCCCAGCCAGGGCGAACGTGTGGTCGGGCCACTGCGCGGTGACGCCGGCCGGGCGGGAGACACAGGGCTCTGTGTGTCTGTGACAGGCAGTGTGTGTGTGAGTGACCCCAGCCCACTGTGAGACCCCGGGTCACTGGGGTCACTGGAGTGTGTGTGGCGTAGGGTGTGACCAGGGCAGGGCCGGGCCGCTCGTTCAGGAGAGTGTGAAACGGAGGGAGAGGAACCCCAAGTGACTGAAACCCAGCCCCGGAATCACTGGAGCCAAAGTGTACTTGTGGGGCTAAGTAGGGTCCGTGTGTGTGTCTGCGCGTCCGGGTAACGAGTAAGAGGCGGAAAGAGGAGGGACCTCAGAACCTGCCGGCAGATCTCGGGGAGAGGAAGGAGCGGGTACCCGGGGGACAAGGGTCTCTCCAGGACTGTCCTCAAGAGGGCGCCCTTCAGGAGCTCAATTTGGTGAAGTGGGTGGATCCGTGGTGATTTGCCCTGGCGAGTGAGAGGGGGCCAAGGCTGGGCCGCCACCCGTGGGGTGACACCTCTGGCAGCAGTTGAGGGGCCTAGAGGTAGCCTCAGGCTCCACCTCTGGACACATGCACGTTCCGCAGGCCTGACAAAGCTCTGCTCCCCTGGTAACCGAGACACCATGGGCCCAGACACCATGTTGCTCTCAGACCGGGCTCCCACTGGGCCTCAGTCTCCCGGTCTTGTCTTCGCACTGAGGTGCTGAGCTGTGAATGGACTGTGAATCATCACTTTGTGATCCTCTTGTTTTTGGGTCAACCGCCTCTGTTCTCCCTTTGCTCCTTTCAGGCACAAAGACTGCAGTGGAGGGTGGGGGCAGGCTGTCTGCTGGGGACACAGTAGCCCAGGGACTGTACACCCAGGTAGGTGCTGGCGACAGAGTTGGGAACACAGCTCAGAATTTCGGGGGCCAAGCCTGAAATTCTGGTCCATAGACATTGACTGCTCTGGGCCAGGTCTCCTTTCTTCATCTCCCTGCGTGGGAGGAGAGGGAGCATGGATTTGTCCCCGATGAGTGGTCTCAGATTTGGAGAGCTGGAGCAGGGCCCCTTCACCATCTGGGCTAGAGCCCTCTGAGGCCCCCACCCCCACAAGAGGGTCTGTCAGGTTCCTGCTGAATGGAATGGAAATCTGGCTCTCCAGCCCTGGAGGGGTGAGGGGGCACCTGCTGAAGGATCTGGAAGTTCTGCCCTGTTGATATCTTCTGAAAATGTTGACTGCATTCTGATGGGGGTGAGGGCCGGAGGACAGGTGTTGTGTGCAACACTTCATGGAGTACTCTTGCTGAATCCTCACAGTGGTTCTGAGATGAGGCTCAGAGAAGCAAGTGATTTGCCCAGTGTCACAGTCAGGACAGTGCCAGGACTGGAATTCAGGTCTTCTGCCCCCGAAGCCCTGTGAGATGCTTGGAGAGGGCCACCCACCTTCCCAATATAGGCACACCTTGGAGATGTTGTGGATTCAGTTCCAGACCACTGTAATAAAGCCAGTATGGCAACAAAGCAAGTCTTAATGCTTTTGCTGGTGGAGGGTCTTGCCTTCAATATGTTAAAAACACAACACCTGTGAAGCACAATGAATCAAAGCTCAATAAAATGAGGCATGCCAGTATCAGCTCATGACTTAGCTGGGTTTCCTTCTCTCAAACCCAGACTGGCAAGCATGGCCTTGCCAGGGTGTGCCATTGTGAGTTCTGAGTGTGGTGTGTGTTTATACATGTGTCTGAAACTCTATGGGTTATGTGGTCTTCCTGCTCTTCCTCCTCCCCCCTCCCCCCCCCCCCCCCAGCTCCCACCCCTAGCCAGAGGTAACCAGAAGGGCCTGTCTCTGCCTTCTAGAGCCTGCAGTTGGTTTTGGGACCAGTCCACATAGCTCTGAAAAGTGTCAGGAGTCAGCAGCACAGCACAGGCTCCAAGGGTGGCAAAGATAATTGAGAGTCCCCATTGACCTTCATCATACCTAAGAGCCCTATCCTCTCCTTCAGAGTTGCTCTAGGGTCACTCCCAAATCCACCCACACGCTGAGGTAGGGAGAAGGCTGGGAGTATGCCCCACACTCTTGGAGCCTCAGTTCCCCCATTTCTCCTAGAGACCCCTGCTAACTCTGGCCATCGAGAGCTGGAGCTGGGGATCAGGGTGTCCCTCTGTCCTCTCTGGAATGGCTGGAGCTGTGCTTCTTGGGGCTGATCAGAATAGCTATCTTGGTCTCCTGGGGCTGAGCCTGGGTTATTTCCATCCCCAGCAAAGAGGTAGAAATAGCTCAGGGCCCAGGAGGGGGGAGATGGGAAGGGTTAACCAAGGGTTAACCTCCTTTTCTTGTCTCAGCTCTGATGGAGGCCCCCAGCCCATCCCTGCCCAAGCCAAACCTTTTTGGGAACTTGAGCCTCCCAGGATGATAGGAATGACAGTGAGGCCAGGCTGGGTTTCCACATGTGGCCTCAGTTGGGACTGGTGTCATAGTTGCTAGAGGGAGGTGTCTGTCTGACCAAGGAGGGGAGACTTTGAGGGGCAGTCAGTACCCTGTTATTGCTCATAGGCCCAGCCCCATTTTACAGAGGGACTGAGGTTCGGAGAAGTGCAGAGATTAACCGAGAACCCCAGAACCTGGCTCTCATCCTCCAGACAGGCACCACCGTGGGTTCTGCCACAGGTCCCCAGGCTGCCTGGATGTGGCCCAGGACAGGAAGCAGGCCTGAGACACACCTTCACAAACAGGGCTCCCTCTTACATTCCAGCTTTGGCTGCTGTCCTTGCCTCCACTCTTGGACCAGCCTGTCTGCCTCCATGTCCAGTTCCTCCACACACTGACAGCGACCTCCCCAAGGTAACACTTACTTTTGCCTATAAAATATAATCCAGTTACCATATAGTAGCATCAAATCTTATCCTTCCTAGACCCTTTTGAACTTTACATCTTCACTCTCATCTCTCCCTAGGAGATCCTGGTTCTACTGCCTTTGCTTTTGTGACCTCTTTCTAGAACCCTCCTGGCCTCTCAGGGTGTACCCTCGCCGTACCTAAGAGCCCCAGCCCAATATGAGCCCCTCTTTATTGTTGTGATCCACCTGCCAGGTGTCCCCCGTCACCTCTGGGAACAGGCACAGTATGGGAACTCCAGGCCCAACAGCCTGCCCTCTCCTGCTGCCCTGTCTGCGCTGGCCGGGTCTCTGAGGTGTCCTGTGTGCTGGGATGCACAAGGAGGTTTGCAGCCAGGACCTCTGAAGCTTCCGAGGGTGTGCTGGGTCAAGGTGAAGACTCAAGGCCACCCCTCTGGGTAGGAGCAAGTTTGTTGCTTGCCCTGGACCTTCCTCAGACACGACCAGGCTGAGGTCCTGCTGTGTACCAGGCCCTGGTGCAGGTATCCTCGAAGCAGCACTGATAGGGGATCCCCTCCTTCCCAACCTCCTTAATGGGAGCTAAGACTCAGAGAGCAGGGGGACCAGCCCTAGTTTGAGTCACAGACATGGTGCTGGAGTCTGGCACTCAAGCTCTTTCTTGCCCAGACCCCAGGTGGAGGTGAGGGCTGTCTGACCATTCAGGCATCAGCTTCCAAGAAGGAGCAAGCTGGCTACCTGAGAGGGGGGCATGTGGGGAGTGGGGAGGAAGTGCTGGTGTGGCTGTTCAGCATTTGGCCTGACTGGGCAAAGCAAGACTCCCCCCCCCCCCCCATGGGGCCAGTCCTTCTCCCAGTTTTGTCTGAGGTTAGCCAGTGGGGCCTATGCATAGTGCCACCAATTGGGACTGGGGTGCCAGGGAAGACAGGAGGGAGCCAATGCTGTGTGCCCAGCCCTGGGATGAGGGCCCTGAGGTTCTCACATCCTCAGCCTCATGCCCAGAGGGTCAGCAGTCCCCTCCAGGTACAGGCAGGGAAAAGAAGACCCAGAAGGGGAAGGGACTTGCAAGACCTTAGTGTCAATGGGATCCTAACCCAGGTCTGTCTGCCTGGAAGGCCAGGGCTCTTTCCTGGGCCACCCTGGGAAAGATGAGAGCTCTATAAATAAACTGCCCATGTGGCCACAAGTGTGCACCCTGACCACATGACGCAGACACAAAGGGATGGAAGGGCCTCTCAGCCAACTAGAGGCAGGGTCTGAATGTGTGGGCAGAGAGAGAAGGAAGGAGAGTGCCCAGGAGGAGGGATGTAAGCTTGGACCTGCACATCTTCACTGTGAGAAGGCAGTGAGCTCAGGCTGGGGCCTGACCATCCACAGATCCTGGCCTTACTGAGTATCCAGCCTCCTGCATGGACTGCCTGCCTCCCTCCCTTGGGGAAGACCACAAACAATGATGGCTAAAGGGGCCAGGAGAGAGGAGGGTCTACCCTGATAGGGAAGGCTTCCTGCAGGGGTTGGTTCCTGGGCTGAGGCCTGATTGTAAAAAGAGCCACTATTCCCCTGTAAACTCTGGATCCTTCAACCACACCAGGAGGTCAGCTGAGCAGGCACAATTGCCCAAAATTATAGAGGAAACTGAGGCTCAGAGGCATGGGGCTGGGTCCTGACTGCTCAGCACTCCTCCACCTGCTGACTGT